GGGCCGGGCGCTGCAGGTATCCGACGGAGGGGCCGGTCTCGGGGCCGGGCGCTGCAGGTATCCGACGGAGGGGCCGGTCTCGGGGCCGGGCGCTGCAGGTATCCGACGGAGGGGCCGGTCTCGGGGCCGGGCGCTGCAGGTATCCGACGGAGGGGCCGGTCTCGGGGCCGGGCGCTGCAGGTATCCGACGGAGGGGCCGGTCTCGGGGCCGGGCGCTGCAGGTATCCGACGGAGGGGCCGGTCTCGGGGCCGGGCGCTGCAGGTATCCGACGGAGGGGCCGGTCTCGGGGCCGGGCGCTGCAGGTATCCGACGGAGGGGCCGGTCTCGGGGCCGGGCGCTGCAGGTATCCGACGGAGGGGCCGGTCTCGGGGCCGGGCGCTGCAGGTATCCGACGGAGGGGCCGGTCTCGGGGCCGGGCGCTGCAGGTATCCGACGGAGGGGCCGGTCTCGGGGCCGGGCGCTGCAGGTATCCGACGGAGGGGCCGGTCTCGGGGCCGGGCGCTGCAGGTATCCGACGGAGGGGCCGGTCTCGGGGCCGGGCGCTGCAGGTATCCGACGGAGGGGCCGGTCTCGGGGCCGGGCGCTGCAGGTATCCGACGGAGGGGCCGGTCTCGGGGCCGGGCGCTGCAGGTATCCGACGGAGGGGCCGGTCTCGGGGCCGGGCGCTGCAGGTATCCGACGGAGGGGCCGGTCTCGGGGCCGGGCGCTGCAGGTATCCGACGGAGGGGCCGGTCTCGGGGCCGGGCGCTGCAGGTATCCGACGGAGGGGCCGGTCTCGGGGCCGGGCGCTGCAGGTATCCGACGGAGGGGCCGGTCTCGGGGCCGGGCGCTGCAGGTATCCGACGGAGGGGCCGGTCTCGGGGCCGGGCGCTGCAGGTATCCGACGGAGGGGCCGGTCTCGGGGCCGGGCGCTGCAGGTATCCGACGGAGGGGCCGGTCTCGGGGCCGGGCGCTGCAGGTATCCGACGGAGGGGCCGGTCTCGGGGCCGGGCGCTGCAGGTATCCGACGGAGGGGCCGGTCTCGGGGCCGGGCGCTGCAGGTATCCGACGGAGGGGCCGGTCTCGGGGCCGGGCGCTGCAGGTATCCGACGGAGGGGCCGGTCTCGGGGCCGGGCGCTGCAGGTATCCGACGGAGGGGCCGGTCTCGGGGCCGGGCGCTGCAGGTATCCGACGGAGGGGCCGGTCTCGGGGCCGGGCGCTGCAGGTATCCGACGGAGGGGCCGGTCTCGGGGCCGGGCGCTGCAGGTATCCGACGGAGGGGCCGGTCTCGGGGCCGGGCGCTGCAGGTATCCGACGGAGGGGCCGGTCTCGGGGCCGGGCGCTGCAGGTATCCGACGGAGGGGCCGGTCTCGGGGCCGGGCGCTGCAGGTATCCGACGGAGGGGCCGGTCTCGGGGCCGGGCGCTGCAGGTATCCGACGGAGGGGCCGGTCTCGGGGCCGGGCGCTGCAGGTATCCGACGGAGGGGCCGGTCTCGGGGCCGGGCGCTGCAGGTATCCGACGGAGGGGCCGGTCTCGGGGCCGGGCGCTGCAGGTATCCGACGGAGGGGCCGGTCTCGGGGCCGGGCGCTGCAGGTATCCGACGGAGGGGCCGGTCTCGGGGCCGGGCGCTGCAGGTATCCGACGGAGGGGCCGGTCTCGGGGCCGGGCGCGCACTGCCCCAGCTCTGCACTGCTGCTGGCACTGGTATTACCCCTGGCACAACAAGGGCCCTGGCACTGTCCCCTGCACACACAGGCAGTGGAACTGGGGGTGCTGTCATGCAGCTGCGCCCTGCACTGCCCCCGCCTTGCTATGTCCTGTACGGGCGGTGGCACTGTGTCCAGCTGCGCCCTGCACTGCCCCCGCCTTGCTATGTCCTGTACGGGCGGTGGCACTGTGTCCAGCTGCGCCCTGCACTGCCCCCGCCTTGCTATGTCCTGTACGGGCGGTGGCACTGTGTCCAGCTGCGCCCTGCACTGCCCCCGCCTTGCTATGTCCTGTACGGGCGGTGGCACTGTGTCCAGCTGCGCCCTGCACTGCCCCCGCCTTGCTATGTCCTGTACGGGCGGTGGCACTGTGTCCAGCTGCGCCCTGCACTGCCCCCGCCTTGCTATGTCCTGTACGGGCGGTGGCACTGTGTCCAGCTGCGCCCTGCACTGCCCCCGCCTTGCTATGTCCTGTACGGGCGGTGGCACTGTGTCCAGCTGCGCCCTGCACTGCCCCCGCCTTGCTATGTCCTGTACGGGCGGTGGCACTGTGTCCAGCTGCGCCCTGCACTGCCCCCGCCTTGCTATGTCCTGTACGGGCGGTGGCACTGTGTCCAGCTGCGCCCTGCACTGCCCCCGCCTTGCTATGTCCTGTACGGGCGGTGGCACTGTGTCCAGCTGCGCCCTGCACTGCCCCCGCCTTGCTATGTCCTGTACGGGCGGTGGCACTGTGTCCAGCTGCGCCCTGCACTGCCCCCGCCTTGCTATGTCCTGTACGGGCGGTGGCACTGTGTCCAGCTGCGCCCTGCACTGCCCCCGCCTTGCTATGTCCTGTACGGGCGGTGGCACTGTGTCCAGCTGCGCCCTGCACTGCCCCCGCCTTGCTATGTCCTGTACGGGCGGTGGCACTGTGTCCAGCTGCGCCCTGCACTGCCCCCGCCTTGCTATGTCCTGTACGGGCGGTGGCACTGTGTCCAGCTGCGCCCTGCACTGCCCCCGCCTTGCTATGTCCTGTACGGGCGGTGGCACTGTGTCCAGCTGCGCCCTGCACTGCCCCCGCCTTGCTATGTCCTGTACGGGCGGTGGCACTGTGTCCAGCTGCGCCCTGCACTGCCCCCGCCTTGCTATGTCCTGTACGGGCGGTGGCACTGTGTCCAGCTGCGCCCTGCACTGCCCCCGCCTTGCTATGTCCTGTACGGGCGGTGGCACTGTGTCCAGCTGCGCCCTGCACTGCCCCCGCCTTGCTATGTCCTGTACGGGCGGTGGCACTGTGTCCAGCTGCGCCCTGCACTGCCCCCGCCTTGCTATGTCCTGTACGGGCGGTGGCACTGTGTCCAGCTGCGCCCTGCACTGCCCCCGCCTTGCTATGTCCTGTACGGGCGGTGGCACTGTGTCCAGCTGCGCCCTGCACTGCCCCCGCCTTGCTATGTCCTGTACGGGCGGTGGCACTGTGTCCAGCTGCGCCCTGCACTGCCCCCGCCTTGCTATGTCCTGTACGGGCGGTGGCACTGTGTCCAGCTGCGCCCTGCACTGCCCCCGCCTTGCTATGTCCTGTACGGGCGGTGGCACTGTGTCCAGCTGCGCCCTGCACTGCCCCCGCCTTGCTATGTCCTGTACGGGCGGTGGCACTGTGTCCAGCTGCGCCCTGCACTGCCCCCGCCTTGCTATGTCCTGTACGGGCGGTGGCACTGTGTCCAGCTGCGCCCTGCACTGCCCCCGCCTTGCTATGTCCTGTACGGGCGGTGGCACTGTGTCCAGCTGCGCCCTGCACTGCCCCCGCCTTGCTATGTCCTGTACGGGCGGTGGCACTGTGTCCAGCTGCGCCCTGCACTGCCCCCGCCTTGCTATGTCCTGTACGGGCGGTGGCACTGTGTCCAGCTGCGCCCTGCACTGCCCCCGCCTTGCTATGTCCTGTACGGGCGGTGGCACTGTGTCCAGCTGCGCCCTGCACTGCCCCCGCCTTGCTATGTCCTGTACGGGCGGTGGCACTGTGTCCAGCTGCGCCCTGCACTGCCCCCGCCTTGCTATGTCCTGTACGGGCGGTGGCACTGTGTCCAGCTGCGCCCTGCACTGCCCCCGCCTTGCTATGTCCTGTACGGGCTGTGGCACTGTGTCCAGCTGTGCCCTGCACTGCACGGAGCATCACTCTGCACTCAGCTACCACGTACGAGCCCGGAGCCCAGGGGTTCCTGCCCACACATCCCTCACCATGAGCTCTGGACTTCACAGGCAACCCTGTGGGAGGGGGGTGTCCCAGTGACTGCCCCATGCACACACACACCAGGGCAGCAACTCCCCACACACGGACGCCATTAGCTGCACAGGAACATCACCACAATTCCCCTTACACCCCTGGAACCCCGGAGAGAGCCTCACGGGGATCTCCACCCACACACGCCCTGGCAGGGACGCCCCATCCACGCATGACCTCAGTCTACACCCTGGATCTGCAGCCACTAAGAGGCAAGTAGTGATGGGGCCAGGCAGTAGCTGCAGCAAGACCCCACCCAAGCACAAGCTGTGCAAAACCTGCACCCTCCGAGGGACCATGTGGCAACCTGCATTGCCATGTGTCACGTTCCTCTCCCCTCAGCCCAGCACTGGGGAAGAACAGGGCCTGGGTCTCCTCTCCTGTTCTTGCCAGCCTCCCTGCACCAGCCCCACCCCAGCCCCGAGTCTTGTTCAGGACTGAGGTCAGTAGGGGGCGCTCCGGCGGCAGCAGCTGGCTGCTCGGAGAGGCAGGCAGGGGCAAAGACTGGAAGCTGCAGGCATGGCTGCCTCTGCACACCCCCTTCCCCAATGCCAGTGTCGGGGCACTCCTCCCCTCAGCACCATGCTCGCTGGGCCTGGCACACCCCTTGTACACCAGGCAAATCTAGTGCCATAGGGTGCGAGGCCCTGCCCCAGCCCCGGCTCATCCTGGCCTTGCCGTCCTCTGTGGCTGGGACACCACCACAAAATACGTCTGCTCCCCACGGAGCTGCACGCTGGGGTCTCTGCCCTCCCCTTTGCCTGTGGGGTTCTGCGGCCTTGCCGTCCTCTTTGGCTGGGACACCACCACAAAATACGTCTGCTCCCCACGGAGCTGCACGCTGGGGTCTCTGCCCTCCCCTTTGCCTGTGGGGTTCTGCGGTGCGGGGGACCCAGTCCGGCCAGCTCAGGCTGCCGCAGGGCTGGGCTGAGCTCAGGGCCTTAGAGTGCATTTAGGCGTGCTCTGCCTCTACGCACGTGGGCTTGCAAAGGGTTAAAAAGCGAGGGTGTTTGTTTGCTAGGGAGCACAGCAGCTGGTTAGGCAGCTGGCAGAGACGGTTAGAAAGACGTGGGGGGAGGCCTGAGGGTGCGGAGAGGAGGGCTGGAGGTCCCTTTGCCTGCTGCATTGCTATGCCTGGCTCAGAAGCTGCAGCCTCTCGCCATGGGCCTGCCCTGGTGGCTGCTTGGGCAGCTCTTGGCCACCACAGTATTTCAGCTCCTGCTCCGTGAGTATGCCTATCCCCAGGGGCTCCTCTTGCTTCACTCAGCTCCGTGCTCTCCAGGACTGCAGGGGAAAGGACTGGCCAGCACGTACGTCTGTGAAATGATTCCCCACGCCCTGCAAAGGTGCAGCCAGGCCCTGGGGTCTTGTGCCAAGGAAGCGTAGCGAGGGTGGGGAAGCCAGGCATGGACCTAACCCCTACCTGGGCACTAACAGCTGGCGAGCAAGAATACGCACCCCACAAAGCAATCCTTCCCAAGAGTTTTGACACCAGTTTTAGCCTCGCTGCTCCCAGTCAGAAGGGTTCTAAGGTCAGGGAGGTCTTGTGGCCAATATGCGTTGCTAACGGGCTGCCTGTTCTCCCCCCAGGCAGCGCTGCAGTCCCTTTCCCCACCTTGGCGCCCCCACTTACCATGGTTGTGAATGGCGAGAGGAAGACCCTGGTGGTCTGTGTGGTGAGCGATCTCTCCCAGGACACTGCAAACGCCATTTGGTTTTCGAATGAGAATGGGAGTGTCCTGGACTCCTTCACCTACGGCGTGTCCAGGGAGGAAGACGGCACGTTCAGCACAGTCTCTCACCTCTCCGTCAACACCACAGATCTGGAGTCCTGGGAATCTCTCGCCTGTCACGTGAGGCAGAACAGAACCACCCAGGTGTGGAGTGCCAGGTCCCTGCCAATCTCTGGTAAGTCCCAAGTCGAGAGACTTTCCATCACCACAGACCACATTGCTGTCACTTCCCTGCCCCCATCTCCCTCCATCACCCGTCCCCCGGAGCCATGCATTCCTCCCCTGGGTCACACTGTGCTTTCCCTGAATGACCTGGGGGAGAAAGTGAGGGTCCAGCGGTGGCCCACTGCCCATTTACAACAATGCAAAGAGCAAACACCAGGTGGTTCATTCAAAATCAGCACCCTGGGGAAAAATAAAGCTATCCCAAAGGGTCCCCCTCCCCCATGGGGACAACTGTCACCCAAGGAGAGCTTGATTAATGGCAAATATGCTACAAAAGGGTCAAGAAATCTCTAGACTCAGCAGAGCCACAGAGGTGATGTTATTCCTGCAGCTATGGGAGAGAGATGTAGGAGAGAGGAGACTCACGTGGGAAGGAGAAACGCAGGCAGCTCGCTGCATTAGAGATCTCTACAGGGAAATGCGCCAGAGTCTGCTTGAAGCTAGCCTTCCACTACATGCCCAATTTCGACACACACACACACCTCTCATCACCAACCTTTCTGCATTTCATAAGCTTAGTCTATCAATCTTTCTGAAAAGACTGAGGAAATTGGACCAAGCACTTCATCAACAAATACTTTGAAACAACATTTGCAAAAATAAGGATGTGGCGAAAAACTGTGTTGAGCTAAGATTCTAAATATCCTTCAACAACAGGTACATCAGGAGTGAACTTGAGAACACTGCAGCTGCTTTTCCATAGGCATGTGGCTATTAATTATTTAACTCCAGTTTTCGGACGTGTTTTGCCTGGATCTAACATAGTACATACAGAGCCGTAACTCTTTCAAGCCTGGGCATGCCACTTTTCCATACAAGGATGAGATCAGGTCCCTGGGGCACCATATGTCTGGGAAATTGTTTTGATCAGTGATGTTTTAGATGGTGGCACTGCATATTCATTAGACTGAAATGTGGCTGTGGCAGAGTTAGAAATCACAAAAGCGGGAAATGAACAAATCCGTACAACAACAGCCTTAGCACCCATCTCTTACCCATTTGGTGATGGGGGGTAAGAGGACTGTCAAAAGCTGAAGGAGGAGTCAGTCACTTGACTCCCGTGGAGAAGCAATGTGGGTGGAGAAGCTACCTCCTATGTCTTGTTTGTGGCTTGAAAAATCACCTCTGTAGTCCTTAGCTCAATGTTACTCTCACCGCAAAAATCGCTTGTTGCTTTGCCCAACTTTTGGTGACACGTCTGTGAAGCAGCAGTTTTCTGCATTTAAAATCCTAGTGCAGGAAAAAAGCTAAGCCAGCGTGTGACCTTTCTAAGCTTTGTCCATTTCACCAGCAGAGCTTATGAGGTAAATGGTCCAGGGGCACTTGGTGTATCCATCCTAAGAATGTTAAAAAGCAGTAAATTAAGTAACTGTGGGCCACAGCATAAAGCTTACCCTGCAGCACAGCTGGCTCCCTGGGAGCAAAGCCAGTGCATGCCAGGACCTGGCTCCCAGCTGCCAGCCCCATTCTCGGGGAGCCAGCTGTACTGCGGAGGTTTATACTGCAGAGCCCGCAGTGTGCAGCAGCAGCTGGCTCCCCATGAGCCGGTGCATGCTAGAAGCTGGCTTTTAAGCTGGCTCCCTGCATATACTGGCTCCCCCCTGCTGGACCTGCTCCCAGGGAGCCTGCTGCTGCCCCATGATGCTGCCTCTGATACAGAGCCAACAGTGTGGGGTGGCAGCCAGCTCCCCGGGAGCAGGACCAGGAGCCAGCATGTAACCATTATGGTAACTGATAAGCTCATGCTTATCAGTTAACCCTTTAAAGTTTTATTATTACATCCCTAGTACATCCCTTCTGTCAGCTAGTTGCACATCGAAATGTATACATCCAGTGAGGTGCTTTCACGTAACTACTTAAATAATTGATTATGCCTCCTCAGCCCTACCTCTTCAAACACTCCTGTCTCATATTAAAACTTGCAAAATAGAGGATCTTCATTAAAGGGTGTTTACATATTAAACACAAAGTTTAAAAGTTGAGTTGTTTGCATTATCTGTGCAAAGAAAGAAGAGGGTGGGGGAGCAGCTTGTTTCAAAGCAAGAAGAGTGTGTATTGCATAATCAAGAAAGATCTATGTCAACCCAAAAGGTGAATGAATTAGAAAGTTCTGAGAACATGGAAGCAGGAGGTTGTGGTGGGTTAGCCCTGCAATCGGTACTGTTACAATTAGTATAGTTCCTCCTACTAACAGTTTTAACTCTGTCCTGTAGAAGACCACCTGGAAGAGCCGTGTCTGGATGAAGACCAAAGTGGTAAGTTATAACTCTTCGTTCCTCCTGGCACATTCACACTGCCCATTTGAATCCTGCCCATTCTGTGATGGAAACAGAAGGGCTGGGGAAAGAGGTGTGTAGACACCACCTCTGGCGTAAGCCTTTTCTGAAAATGAACATCTGAACGAACATCCAGGTCTGGGGTAGTTAAGTTATTCCAGATTTGCAGCAGTGTAAATGAAAGCAGGGTTTTACCTAGTACGTCCAAGAGTTTTCATCGCTGGGTGAAAGACGCAGATTGCGAAGTGACTAATCCTTGCCACCTAAACTTCTGTATGTCAGAAGTTCTCTCTGTCTCGAGGAAAGAGGTTGTCAGTAGCATTGCTCTTAGAGCCTTTCTGTAATGCAACCCCTGGATCTGCACTCACCATAGCAGATGTGCATTCAGAATCTCCATATCACCACTCAAAAGGAAACTGACCTGCTCTGGAAGAGCAGCTGATCTTCCGAGTTGAGAAGTCAGCTCTCCAATAGAGCAGGTCAGGAAATTTTCATAGAAACATTATTTTATCTCAAAATGTAGATCCCTCAAATCTAACTCACTTGTAGACCAGGGTCAGTTTTAATGAATCTCCTGATCTGAATCATTTTTGGAAAAAAAATTGAAGTTGGCAAAACAGTGTGACCTGACGGTTTCTAAACACTAAGGCTATGTCAAGACTACGTAGAATTTTCAAAAGAGGATATGCAAGTTCTGTGGGAATTTGCATATCTTATTCCAATCTCACTTTCAAAAGAAGACCTTTCAAAAGTGAAAGTAGTCTGGATGCGTTTGTTTTTTTTTTTTTCAGGAAAAACACCTTT